TCCCTACACAAGGCAGGCCTGCTCCTATGCTTTTCTTTTAATCTAGTCAGTGGTTACCTTGTTATAAAAGTTATTAGAATAGTCTGTGAATTCTTTCTAGATTCTTACTGTATTATGTCTTAGGACCCTATTCTCTGAAAACCTGATGTTAAGGTAAATTTTCCACATTAATGCCCACTTCCCCTAGTAAAATTCAAAATCCATTTCTATAACTAATCTCAATTAACCCAATTTCCTTCTTTTCAAGTGTAAATACATGCTCAAGTTCATTCTCCCCTCTTGCCCTGAAAGTTCAGGGTTCTATGATGAGATAAGTCAAATCTCTCAGTCCCATGGGGTCTACATCAGAGCACAAAAATCTCCTTACAGCAACCCAGTTCTCTCTGTTATATACTGCGCAGTGCCTTTAAGATGGCTCACAGCACAACCAGGAAGGCAAAACTTTGGCCTCATAAAGTAGTTTGGTTTCTGTGACCCTATGTGCTGGTATCAGTTTGTTTCACCCTAAATATCCTCATGTCTTTCTGCTGCTTCTTCCTCTATGAGGTGCTGGCCCTAATTTCCCCACTCAGCCTCAGCCCGTGTATTCTCTTACCTCTTGGCATGGTCACTAACTATAGCTCTTCAGCTCTTCAGTCTCCCAGACTGACAGTGGCCTGTACTGTCATACCTCTTGCCATACCTCTTGACATGGTCACTAACTATAGCTCTTCAGCTCTTTGCCTCCCAGACTGACAGTGGCCTGTACCTGTGGACACCTGGTAACTGCACACAACTTCTCCCCAGGACTGAGTTCATGCCTTCTAACTGGATTTGCCCTTTGTTTGCTGATGCTTCTTCAGAGTTGGCCTCAGGCATGCACTAGGTTTAGTCTAACCATGTCCTACCCACAGTCTGGAATGGTACTTCCTTGTTCTCAACAGGATATAATGTTCCTTGTCTAGCTGTGGCCTATTCCTGTCTCCCAGTTACTTTGTAGGGAGGAGGAATAGGCAGATGGAAGTATTTTTATTATGAAATATCGTTGTCTTTTGGATGGCATCTTTTAGCCAATTGATTTCCTCCCCCTAATTAAAAGGTCAATATTTTTCTTGAAACATCTATTTTCCCCATGATATTGATAAAAGAGAAATTTCTCTTTTTCAAGGTGGATCTTCTGCCCTGTCTGCTTCAGTCCTTTTGACCTAATGCCACTTTGATCATTTACTTAGCTAGTTGTCTATCTTTTTCTCTGTAGGTTTCATTTGCTAGTTGACTATTGGCCAAATGACATACCATTTGTGATTTAGAAATAAAAAGAAGCTGATAAGGGGAAAAGGTAAGAATAAACACTCACCTGCTTCAGCAGACATCCCTGCTTGATAATGACGCCTCTGAATTCTTCTTTCAGAATAATGTCTTCATCACTGGAATTCTCTTCACAGAAGAACCCACTGTCTGGCTATGAGGAAAGAAATGGCAAGTTTATTTTATGAGTCTTAGGCATATTGCTATTTTACCATCTCCATCTCCCTCTACCCTCCAGCCACCAGCGTAAGCTCCTTCTTTTCCTCCCCTGTGGTTCATATCCCAACCTGAACCTTAAAGGCTGTCCTTGGTTAGCTCGTTTCCCCTCCCCTTTTATCTTGTTTCTAGATGCTCGTCCTCTCTTGTTTCTTCTCATGTGATCTTGTCAGCATCTTTTCATTTTCTTGGGTTCCCCAAGATACATTCTAAGTCTAGGTGAGCACATTTCTTTCTTCAGAGCCTTCCTTCTCTTGGGACTTCAAGGCCACATTCTTGAAAGTAGAGTTAGCTAACTTCTAAGACACTGCACAACACAAGCTCAGTTATGACCTCTGCCACTCAGCCCCTTCTTCTTTGAGAAGATCAAGAGCATGTGTCCATCCTCATTCTCTGAGGTCAGGAGGGGACTGAGACTTGCTCAACTATAAGCAAGCAATGAATCGTACAGAGGAAGAGGAGCCACTGTGATGGGTATTTTTAGAATCCCATATTTAAATAGCTACAAACAAGCATATTAAAATACTGACAGAAAAACTTCCCCCAAAATGAAATGAAACTCTCTCTGGGATATCCACATCATTTTTTTAAAAAGGTTTGTTCCCTTAAGTAGCTAACTTTTGTGCTCTGACACTAAATAGAAACAAAACTGCCAAAATTCCCCTAGAAATCTATTGCGGGATTTCTCACATGGCCCAAGATTGTTGTGTAACATAATGTTTCCCAGTCTGTGGTAAGCATACCATGGGAGGTACACAAGACAATTGAGAGAGGTGATGTAGATGAAAACATTCTGTATGAAAAGTCATGTATTTTAATGTATATTTGGAAAACTACAACCAGCATATCGTGATATCATGGATCTCCCTCTAGAAAGAAAGCTCCATAAAGGATGCAATTTCTGCCAGTTGTTGTTTTGTTTATTTGTTTTTCTTTTTTATTTTTTGTTTGTTTTGTTTTGTTAACTGCTGTATCTCCTTCGTTTTTTAGAGTGCCTGGCATGTGTGAGGGCCTAACAGGTTTTTATAACTGAATTACTGCTTATAAGAATAGATATAGTAAAGTTTTTAAAAGTCCATTTAAAGAAAACTATTCAAGAAAACAATGTTTTCCTTTAAATTGATTCACTTAGATGTGGCAGACACTGAGGAGGGGGGACAGCTGTCAAGTCTGAAACATGTAACAGCTCTCCGTAGGGCTGGGCTTTTCTTTAGCATACGTAGATATGAACTGAAATCAGCCCCTAGAATCTGCCCAGGCAGTCCCCATTGCAGAAAGAGTAGATAGGTAGCTTTTCTCACTTACAAAATAGTAGAAGGCATCAGGGTTGTCCAGGAAAGGGTTTTCGGCAGTTCCATCCACTGCGTTCTTAGACAGGTCTCCAGCAGGTTGCAGGTAGCCTTCGTTCAGCAGTGAGGAGGCGATCATGAGGCCTTCCTGGCGATTCCGAACAGACTGGTTGGAAAGCAGCCAGTCGATGACACAGTTACCTGGATGGGACCATCAGAAGGAAGGTTAACGCGCTTAATCAAAGAACGAATCACTGACAGTCACCTCTGGAAAGCTCCAGAGCACTCACGTGTCTAACTTGTCTTATCTTTTCCCTGTTATTCCAAGAAGAAAAAAACAAAATCAATGGGATAGATACCTAGAAACAAAATGAACCACGTTAAGTCTTGAGGGGAAGAAAAATCTATATGCATCAAAGAAACAGTTTTTACTATTCCACTCATTTACTTCATTAACAAACATTTATTTAGCACCTACTAGGTGCTGCAATGGATATTGGGGAGACTCACTCAGAGAATCTAAAAAGGAGAGATGGGTGATAAGTAATTGCTATCACAACTGCTATACTATGGGTCAATACTGTGGAGCTACCTGCAGGAAGGTATGGAAGGGGTGGATGGGGGAAGGGAACTCTGGATGCACTGACAGGAAAAGCTTTACAGAGGAAGTGACCCTGGGCCTTTAAAATGAGTAGATTTTTGCCAAACACATGAGGCAGAGGCTGAGAGAAACCAGCACAGGCTGAGGGGAGCTGCAGTCTGAACAGATGCACACAGGCATGAAACAGCCCATTTTGGGGCTAAGGGGGAGGAGTCGGTGACAAGAAGGCAAGAAGAGACAAGAGAGAAAGGAAGGCGCAGAGTGAGGCGGGAGAGCTTTAATGGCACATCAAGAATACTGACAATGGAGAGCCACTGCAAACTTCTAGGCAGGAAATAATACGGTCAGATATGTATGTCCTAAATTAAAATTTGTTGATAACACTTGCACTGAACGTCACACCTTTTTTGCAGGGTCTAGCAGGAATCTTGAGAAGTCATTTAATCAACATTCTGCCTCAAGAGAGATTTAAAAAGAGAATAAAATAAAATTGACCCCTCAGTTGGATTATTAGCAGGCCACAGAAAAGCTGTGTATTAAAAACAACATTTTCTTTACAAACATAGCCAACCAGGGAGCCAACATAACAGGCCTCAAGTCCCAGGTCATCTGAGACAGTAGTAAGATGAGCCATCCTTGAAACAGGAGTGAAAGCGGTTGGTGAGTGAGTCTTCATGAATTTCATATATGAAAGGCTTTGCCTACTTTTCTTTCTCTAGAAGGATAAACTGATTAATACTGTATTTCTGCTTTTAATCCTTGCAGAGACCTTGTAAAAGAGGTAAGGCAGTAATTGCAGATCTCATTTTCAGGATGAGAAAATTAAGGCTCAGAGAACTTAAGTAATCTTAGGCCTGTGTTTTGCCTGCAATGGAACTTCGCTTCAGTGTTCTAACCCCAGACTCCATGCTTGTTCAGCCAGGCATGCTGAAGCTTGAAGGGCAACTTCAGTCTAGTTTCCTTATCACCTAACATTCAAAGTCCTCCATCACATGTCAGCAGTATCCAGGTCCCAGTCTCTGCTGTAGACAGACATGTGTCTCTGCTGACACCACCTGATCCTACATGAAGGCTGGATCCCACCTGATTTCTAGAACCCATCCTGGCCTTCATTGGGGAGGACTGAAGAAGTTCTAGCCCAAAATTCTGGGACTCAGTAACACATTGCACAGGAAATAAGTCTGGCCTGGACCTTGTGCCCAGATCTGCATAGGGAACCCCATCCCTGTCTCCACCATGTTCCCTTTGTCCCAGGCTCTGTCTTAGTGACCTGCTCTTGTTGGGTTTCCCTTCCCCCTGCCCAGGCTTGGTATCTTTACCCCAAATCTTAGCCCAATCTTTTCTGATGTTAATGGCCATCTACCTTAACTCTCTGATGCTGAATTCCCATGGGATACTACCCTGTTAGCTGAGATCACACCCTCTACCTCTCCACCTTCCTGGCCTGGTCCTGGACAGTCTCCATGCATTACCTGTTGATTAATTCTACATCTGTTGTTTCTTCTCACAGTTTTTCTCCCTTGATCTCTCTTGTCACCATAATCAAGACATGCCTGACATTAGACAAACCTAGTCCCAAACTACACATCCCGTTTTGCCCCCTAATGAACCAGCAGCTCTAACACGCTGATCGTGTTCTTTTCCTGCGTGTATATTCTGCATATCTCTGGCCCATAACTTTGTCCTCACTGTCCTCTCTGCTCAGCCCTCTCATCAGCGTTCCTTCTCACAAATATTTAATGAAATTCTATTTATCTTTCAAGGTCAAACTTAGGCGCCACCTCCTATTCATCTCTGAGTACTTTCTCCTTTCCGAACTCACAGAATTGATTGGCTGTCAGACTTGTGACCTCTTAATTATAAACCACATGGAGAACTTGCACCAATAGTCCTTAGTGTATGCCAAACACTGTTCTAAGCACATTATAGCAAGCCTATAAAATAGATGTGCATGGTTATCCTTATTTTATAAATAAAAGTGAAGCAAAGAAAGGCTAAATTTTTGGCCTGAGGTTTTATAGCTAGGTTTCAGAGCCAAGGTTTGAATCAAGACAGTCAGGCTCCAAAGAACATGTTTTTAACTACTACACCATTTACCTAAACTCATAACACTTAAAGCCTGATCCTGTGCAGCCTCAGACATCCCTAGTATTGTTACTTAAATCTTGCATTACATTTTAATCCCCGTTTATCATTTTATTCAATTCTGTGTCTTTTTTAACATAATAACATTTATGGGCAGAAAAAAAAGATCTTTTGATTGATATAACTAGAATTCCCAAAACAATATCTTGGACAGCAAAGTTCTTATCTACCCTTCTTTCTGTTTCCATGCTGGGGAAGTTTAATTTTCATGCTCACCAGTCTGCGTCCTATGACTCCATCCACCCACCACACTCCACCCACCATGCTCCACACCCCCACCGCACACATTAGGCTGAGCAAGAACTTCATCTTGCCTTCCCCAGTGGCCCCACTTCAGACTCAAAAGGCCTTTTACCTGTGAAGCAGTGATTAAAAATCTTCTTGTCCTTCTCGAGGTTTAGTTCTCTTATTCCTTTTTCAGTATCTTTCATGGACAAATACATAGCACTGCACAAAGATAGAAACAGACAGATGAGTGGGGAGCATTTCAGAATGGTGAATCCTCTCAGGGAGTCCACCCTGGAGAGGTTGGCCATGAGCACAAGCTTTCCCCGCCACACCCTGCAGGTGACCCCATACCTAATCTCTCCATCAAATTATAAGTAGTTAAAGGGCATAGTCGTTATTTGCATAACTTTGTGGCCTAGATAGCATTCAATAAAAGGTACTAGAAATATGTTTATTATTTCTTAAATTCATTAAGCTCTTTGTTGATTTAACTCCTGGTACCCGAAATAGAGCTGCCCCCAGGTAGGTGGCAAAGATTAAAGGTTCTCAGGGCCATTTTTCCATACACATTCTAGATCTCTAAGGTCCCTCTATTCTCATGTCTCATTCTTTTAAGTGTGTTTCAGGAGACCATCTGGTGTAGGCATTCGCCTCCTAGAAAGTGAACGTTTTGACTAAACTTATCTCTTATTCTAAAAATTATGAGACAAGATGAAACAATGAATTTTCATTTTTGTCCTTGAAGTAATAAACTGAAGATAGCCTGATCAGAGAGAGATATTGCAAGCAACCAAACAGAAGGCCACTTTCGTGAGGTCTGCAGCTCCACCCAGCACAAGCATCATTCTCACTTAACTCTGACAGCCATAACCAGAAATGTGGTCACTTGACAACTCTAGCCATCAGCTGCACCTCCTCTTGGGTCTCTACCCAAAATCTTTCCTGGTGAGAGAAGGTGCTCAGTCTCACCAAGCTCAATGTGCAGACTTTTTCAAACTCTTGTGACATGCCAAGTCTGTGTTAGGCTTGCAGAAGGAGTTTTTCTTCAGTTCCTCTCAGGGACTCCCCTCGTTTTGTAAAAAGAACCCTCGTTGGACCTTTTAAGCAACCAACATGGAATTTTTCTTGGCAGGGCTCCAGTTTCAGGATATGCTCGGCATACAAGCAAAACTATCAAGAAGTAAAGACACTCTCAGAGAAAAAGGTCCATGCAATAGGAGAAGATGTGAAACATGCAGAAAGGAAGGAAGCCTACTCCCAACTGCTATCGGAGGCTGAATTTACCTGTGAGTTTCTAAAACCCTTTAGAAAACAGCCATCATCTGCAATTCCAAGGCAGCCAATGTCAGAGGACATTAAACCAGGCCAGGATACAAATGACTTCCACCCAGAATGGGTGTTCACCTTGGTTGGTCTGTGTTGACTGTGTGAATGTGTGCTCTTGAACTTGAAACCTCACACACTTGGATGCGTAGCCCCTGCCATTTCCTGCCTACCTAGAGATACTGAAGCTTTCTTTCAATACCAGCTTATTACAGTTACTTCATAGATGAAATGATAACTTATCTCTATCTCTCCATCTCTATCTATATGGCGCTCGCGCTCTCTCTCTCTCTCTCTACCTCTCTCTCTCTCTCTCTACCTCTCTCTCTCTCTCCCTCTGCCAAGGTTACCCAAAATGAGAGAATGTATACTCCATTAGCCTCCTCTCCTCAACTGCTAGGTCTCGGAAAAGCATGATTACACCCTCAGATCCAGGTAAACATCTTAGTACACCAAATGCCAATATCAACCTGGAAGAGTGGATACAGCTTTCAGAGGTGACTAAAGCAAACTTTAGCGCCAGAACTGTTATAAAATTTCCTCAAAGGTGGGATGGGAGTGGGGGAAGGAAGATGGCAGAAGGAAGCAAACAGAGAAAGTCACCCTAAATCAATGGTTTCTGGCAGTCGAATGGATCTCCTGGTGGATTTCCTCGCAAACTTCTGGCCTCCTTCAATGCATTTAATGGCCTTCTTAATGTCTCGAACCCAGCCATCTCTCTCTTCCAGGAAGGCTGCCTGGAAGAAGTGGTCCTGCTGTTTTTTTGTAGTGATCTTAAACACAAACTAAAAATCAAAACACATTCCATTAGGGATAATTCATTTCAAGGGGCTGAGGCCCCTTAAGAAGCATAGTTGTTGAGCCCACCTTGTTCTATAAGTGCTTGGCCAAGAGACACCCAAATGCCCGGAGTGGAATGTGGGTGGTGGTGAGAGGGACTGCCCCAGGGAACATCATTCACATGATAGGCTATGCACAGGCTCAAAGGTCAGTGCCCGGCAAGGTGTTCATCGCAGCTAATGATGTCAACTCACCATCCTTTTGCCGAAGTCCTGACAAGGGCTAGTCAGAGTGCTTCCTTTCAAGGGAATCATTCCTTTGGGGCTGCTGTCACTTTTCTTCTTATAGAATTCAATTCCATCTTCTAACAATACAACCCACATGGGTTTCCAAGTGTTGAACACACTCCCCTATAATGACAACAAAAAGAGCTGTGTAACAATGTGTTCTAAAACTATTCTATAATGGTGCAGGACTTTGTAAATCACCTAGCTTTGTGTGACAAGGCTGCTAGTAAAGCATCCTTCAGGGGAGAAAGGGGTTGCCATTCTGCTGGAACTTTAAAAACTTTTTCTAAGATAAACTGTATACACTTCTATAATTAGCCCATAAGCCTCTTATGGGCCACTACCAGAGGAATATGGTGTGGATCTCTACTCCTCTTGTGCACTTAAGGCTGGCTTTCTAGGGCTTATTTTCTATTCCCAACTCTGCCTGTTGTGTTTATTTAAACCTGGAGACAGCAAGGAGATTCTATCTCAAGTGTCAACTCAGACTGAATAGTAGTTTATGCCTGAGGCTGGACTCACATAGCTCTATGATCCAATAGCTATGTTAACGGCAGACATGGAGGCTGTAAATGGTGGTATGTTAGCTGCAGTGACTCTCATCCTGTGGTCTAATTAGATTTTATCTGAATAAGAATGTCAAGAAGAAACTCAGAGAGCAGCCTCGTGTGACAATCTCTTGCAAAATGGCCTGGGATACAAAATGTTGCTATGCATGTCGATGTAGCTTTTGGAAAAGCCTTACCGAAAAAGTTTCCAGTTTGGGTTAATGTCAACTGCCGCTGTACAAATAAATTAACCATTCTGACTAGGTCAAGAAAGTTGCTCTTTCTTGTCTAGATTTTGAGTGGGCTTTGAAAAAGGAAGGAAATAGGGTTCTTTGCCTCTCATCATTGAATCCATGAAGTCACCTTGTCATGACTACCACAAAATAGAATTATCATCCAGTTCCCAGCAGATCCTGCTGTTTATTTTAAAATACCAAGAGTTTCCATATAAAGGTCTAGTTGCCCAAAAGGAAGTCTATTTATACAAAGAGAATACATACTTGTGAGACTTGTCCGAGTGTTTCCTTTATTTCAATTCCAAAAAAAAAATTTGTTTAAATTTGAACACTATCTCTTTTCTGCATAGGCAGAATAACTATCCAGAGTAACACTAGATTATTTCCTTTTCTTAAAAAAAATGGCTGAGTTCACACACTAAGCCAATACATGAAATAATTTTAATGAAATGCCTTTCTGTTTTACATCTATCTGAGAGAAACTTATATCCAGACTATAAGAAAAATACGAACAATCTATTTTTTAAATGGGCAAAAGACTGGAAGAGGAATTTCATTAAAGAGGTTATCCAAAAAGGCTCCGAAAACATGTTAAACATCATTATCCATCAGAGAAATGCATGTTAAAATCACAATGAAATATCCCTGCGCACTCATTACAATATCTAAAATTTAAAACGATTAAGAAGAGCAATACTTGGCAACGATGGTAACGGGAACTCCCACGTATGATGGGCAGGAAGGCGAGATGGCACACCAAGTTGGAAAGTAATTCTCAGAAGATATACGTTGAAGTATGTAGGGATCAGATAGCATGATGTCTAACATTTATTCTCCAAATATTTGAGCATAAAAGTATGTGTGTGTGTTTATATAGAAATGTAGAGACAGGGAGCAATAAAGCACATGCGGCCAGGTGTTAACAACTGATTAATCTAGGTAAAGAGTTCATGGGTAGTCATACTATTTTCTTGTTTCTCTGTGGGTTTGAAACTTTCAAAATAATTAGGAACATTAATAAGTGAACAACACATGACACTACTATATATTAAAATTTGGACTATATATACTTTTAGAGAAATACAGAGACGTCTATTTAATAAAAAATTAAAATAACTGAAAATGATAAAAGATACAGTCACAGAGCTAGGACTAGGAAGTTGGGCTAAATGATAGCTAAAATGCTTTTCAATTCTTAAATTTTATATTCTACCTCAGGCCTATCAAAGATTAATAACTGCCACAGTCACTCAAAGCTTAAGATTGGGATAAATTGGGAGAGGTCAGCCAGCACAGCATTCCTTCTGTAGACAATTACAGTAAAACTACTCCAGAACCAACTGTTCAAAATGAGTTTGTGCTTTCCTAATTCAAATGTAGCCTTATATGGTTCTCAGCTCACTCAGAAGAGGATGTGTTATTTGGATTTCAGGTCATTATGCATTGAGGAAACTGATACTCTGTAAAACAAGAAATTGCTTATAAAGTAGAAACTTTCTTCCAGGCTTGGTAGTGGTTAGTTAGGTTAGGATGATGAAATTATGAATGATCTCTCTCTCTCTCTCTCTCTCAGCCCTTACCGTAGCCACCAGCTTCTCACTGCAGTGAACTGACAGCACCTTCTCTCAGCAACCCCTACATTTACCGCTTTCTGTCCCCAACCAGAACTCAACCAAGAGCAAACCTGGCAGTGTGACCATGAAACATCCAGGGCCTAGTATACCTGACTAGCAAATGTGGACGTGGAATCCAGGTCTCCTGATTCCCAATTTTAGCTCTTTCTACAACCTTTCAGATGCCATCTTTATTTTGGTTCTTATGTACCTTTGAGTAATTCTGGAATCTAAATCAATTTTCTCAGGCAACTTAGCTAGCTATACGTATAACTTCATAAAATCATATGATTT